TCTTCACTATGTATTTATCATTGTTCATCAGATGTCCAAAAATGAACGTGCACGCATGCGCAAGGAGAGTGCAATGAACAGACGACTATGTTGTTGTAGGGCACCGCCGCCGCGGGCGTGTCAGAGTGCTGTTGAAAGTCAGTATGAGGAGATCGTCAATTCGTGGATTATTGTGTTGGGGGAGATAGATGAGGAAATGCGACAATCGGGAGGTAGGCCAAGTGGAACTTATCGCATCATCGGCGGAGTTTTAATAAAGCTCTTGCCGGGGATCGAACCTGCGATCTCACTTAGGCGCTGAGGTTCTGGCTGAGTTGAAGGCTATGGACGGAGATCTGCCTCCATTACAGGAAGGTGTGAGTGAGTCGACCCTCTGCAAGGTAATTTTGTGGCGCGCGGTAATTACTAGCCTGTCATCGCTAGGCCCTGCTGGTCCGAGCTAAGTTCTACAGATTACTTGGTGAACCGGAAAAGGCGATTCGTGAATACATTTCCTTGTGTTCTCGCATGGATGGTCGTTAGAAATCGCACACTGTTGATTTTGCCAATCTTTGCTTTGTACCATCGCCGAATCGTCCAATGTCACGTAGTTTGAGTTGTTCGAATGTTTGTTCATGAGAGCATACAAGCCTGGGCGGACAGGTGGGCTATTCTAGACGGTTTGGAGAAAGCTGTGTCTACGGGATTTTTCATGGTCGTCATTGGCGTATTCGTGCTCATGTTGAGGTAAGCTGATGGTTTGTGGTTTCATAGGAGCTCATTTTAGTCCCGTTAGGTTCCGGGGGAACACCCTTAAACGTGCGGAGGAGTTCTTTGTTGTCGTTGGAGATGGAGAAGGCTCAGAATGCAGCACGTATGTCGATTCTACAGCTGAGTCGGTTAGTGATATTGACTTTTGACCGAGAGTCACCGGGTTCGATCCGCGGTGACGACGTTAGTCAGTGGACGACATCATGTTGTCCAACTGAATCAGAATCAGACGGAGTCGAAACGCTCCAATGATTTTAAATGCTATACTTTTGTCTATTTTCAGTATTATAATCTATCCCACTGAACTCCCTCTGTGTTTTTTTGAAGTGCACTGTGACTGTTACGCGGGAGTTGGGTCTCAGAGCTCCTCTTGAATGACATGGTTACAGCCTTGAAAGTGACTTGTCGCTTCAATCGTTGAAACGACAACTCTGATGTTGTATAGTTTTCATATATCCTGATCGATTCTGACGTATTGATATAGGGAACATTATATAGGGAACATATAATATAGGGAACGTGACATTCTGATATAACTGCATGGTATCACCGTGATACCGTGATACTATCACGCACATATGTGTTCCCTCCAACCTGCTGAAAACAGAAACAACTGAGGTCCATAAGACCTCAAAGGCTCTCTGTGGTCACCAATCAACAGCCGAACCGATCATAACGATTCAGCCTGAATCATTCAAGTGGAGAATCTATACCAGTACATGTAATTATCACACTGTGTGATAACTAATCACTAAAGCATCCAAGCCTGACAGGCTAATCACTGATTAGCCTGTCAGGCTTGAATGGTTGTCCGGGCTCCGCGGCTTCATCCTTGAGTTTTCTCCGGAGCCTCGGCCTCCTTGTGAACAGCGCCATCCCTGGGCGATT